AGCTCAATATTTTAATTAAACAATTAATAAAATAATTTCATATAAAAGTTAATTAACTAAACTCAACACATCTAATATAAGAAATTCACAATCAATTCAACATACAAATATAAGTCAACAAATTATAAGCAAAATCAACATATGATCATCACAAATAACATAATATTTAAATAAATTTCATAGATAAAAATATATATAAACATATAGTTTGAAAATTATTGTATCTGCTTTGAGATTAGCATTCTATATTATCACGGGCAAAAGGTGGCCGTATAATCCCCGCCTGAGCTGCACGTAAATGTACTCGTAGCGTCGTCTTCAGGGTAGCTATAAGCTTGCGGACAAAGATTCTTGAAGAATCTGGAGTACTTGGTGGGCCGACAATCGCCGGAGTTACAGCAATACTCATTCGTCTTGAACACATCGCAAGCGCCGTCGCAGCCGCCGGTGACTTTCAGCTCCGCCGGACACTCACCGGCGACGTCCGCCGCGCACCGCAGTGTGATGCAGTCGCCGGTATTAGGCCTGATTTGAACAGGCACGTTGAAGCCATCGACAAGTGAGATATCATAGAAGTCATTGTTGCCGTACTGGTACAGTGAATACTCAACCAAGGTGGCCGGCGGTGAGCCTTCGGCGGTACAGTTGAGAATTCCACCACAGCCGCCGGTGAGGCAGCTTCCCTTGCCGGAGGCGTCGAAGGAGCAGTTGGTGCGAGCCCAGAAGCGGCCGTTGCTGGCCGCAGCGGCCCTGGCGAGGCTCCAGTTACTGCCCGGAGTGAGCTCACGGCCGCCGCCGGGGATGGCGGCGGGCCAGATGGTGTAGGAGCAGTTGTTGATGAGGGTGAAGGTGGTGGCGTTGATGATGGGGCAGAGAAGGAGAGGGAGGAAGAGGACGAGGAGAGAAGAAGAGATCATGAAGGGTTTTGGAGGAGAAAGAAGAAGAAGAAATTTGATTATGGCTTCTTTTTTCATATAGAAATAAGGAAGGTAGCGTTGATAAGAAAAGAGTTGAAGAGAAGGACTAAGTATTATAAGTTCAATTTAATCTAGAAGAGAGATTGCTTTAGATTGCTTGAAATTTCTAAAATAATATTTTATTATATTAAAATGATTATATT